GCAGCTGTTTGACATCTCAGAGAAAGTCAGTGTCTCCTTTTGATTGTATACCCTCAGTACCAATACAACTTGTACATAATTTAAATACAATACCACAATTATTTTTGGTGAAGTATTAGAATATAAAATATTGAACACTATAATGAAGGAGATAATAGACAGTGTTAGTGTAGTGACTGTATACACCAACCTCTCCCCTCTACCAATTATCTTCACTTCATTCTTAAGCAAAATAAGGCTAAATATTCTTTATTATACCTTTTGTTTATAATACCTTATTATCTTGTGGATTTTGCCGTGTTTAGCCACCTCGAAGCTTTCTCTTGTCTTCATGGTAAGCTGATACATTGAGGATAATTTCTACATCACGCCAAAATTGATTAATCGGGTAAAATATCTGGCGGTGTCATGCCAAAATGGGCGTGAAAATGTAGAAATTCTGACAAATTCTGCATTTTGGCAAAACCAGAGTCCCTAATGTACAAAATAATCAAGGATTTAGTGTGTATGGGTTACAAAAGATAAACTAAGAAGAAATTTCCAATACAGGTTAGTTTTTATACTGAACTAGCATTCATCACCATTAACAACTAGTCCATTTATCATGTACAGTAAAGCCTCCGATAACAACAGTTCAACTAACGAAGATTCATATCTAAGACCCTGGTTAATTTAGGACCCAATTCAATTTACGCCATTATTTTCTTCGTATTTAAGACGAAATTAAAAAACTTTAAAATTTAATTTTCGTATAAATAATAACTAAATCCCAATATTATAAAAAAAACACGCCTTGCACACGGAGGCTGCTGGGCTTGTTAGTGGTGACGCCAGCATCACTAGCATAAACAATCGCAGCTGACAGGCCCTTTGTTTTCACGCATCTGAACAGGAAAAGGAGAAAAACTTTCTCAGGTTTCTTACAGGATTTTTGCGTCCCTATTCAACATGAGCAAGAGACCAAGTGATGGTAGTGTTGTTTCAAAAGCTAGTAGAAAGTGTATAAGCTTAGCCGAGAAACTAGATGTGTTAAAACGATATGAAAAAGGTGAGAGGTGTGTGGATAAAATATGGAGCAAGCAATGAACATATTTTCTGAAGTGGATCCATTAACAGAACAAAGCATTAAAATTTAAATAACACAAATGACCTCTACATAAAGATGTATAATGAGAAAAGAAAGCAGCTGTGCAAGATTCTTTCGACAGCTTTATTATTCGAAGGCCTAAACCATCAACTTCAGCTACACCGTCAAATTCAGCATCATAAGCAGCTTCAACAACTTCAGGTTCAGTAACAGTTCAGCAACAGCTTTGTGGAAAGCTACAGCTTCAGCCAGAGTTGAACCTGATGACTTCGTCATCTGAATACAACCTCACACAATATTCATCGGCTGTCCTTATGTTTTAGACTTTACCACCATTAGTGAGTAGAATTTTTATTTTACATTCGTAAATATTATTTATAACATTTATGAACAGTAAATAAGTGTTGCTTTCATATTCATATGTAGAAAAATGACGATATGCTTTCACATGTACGCACTTACTGTTCATGCGTTGGCGTTCCCAATCGTCTCGCTTTATTTCTTTACCATTAGTGGTTAGCTACTTCTAGTGTTCCATTTATTAACATTAAATAACATTACTTAAAACATACATACAGGTATTCAATTCTTTTACATTAAGTTCACTACAGCTACAACCAGGGTCTTATTTTCTTCAGTTTCTTATGTAGAACCATTGTCACTCACGAAAACAATGCCGTCTTGTCTCCTCGTGTGTGTTTTAATATTCTACGTATTATTAATGAATTACATTAATTCAATCAAATACATATTCAGTAATAACAATAATGAATCTTTTGTACATATTCTTAAGATAAATGACTATGTTTCATTGAGTGCGCACGTATACATTGGCGTTCCACTATCAGTCTCACTTTTTGCTTTAATCTCAGTGGTTACTTCTACTGTACATTAAATAACATTAATTAAAACACATATTTTTTTTACATTAATTTTACTACAACAACAACCAGGGTTTTATTTTCTTCAGTTTCAGGTGGATAACTGACATTATGGGTGTAAACACTGACAACAATGCCATCTCTTATCCTCTTGTGTGTTTTAATATTCTACGCATATATAAGGATTAATTCAATCAAATACATATTCAGTCTTTTGTACATATTCTTAAAAAGATAAATGATGCGGTTTCCTTATATGCGCACATATATGTTGGCGTTCCCAATCCATCTCACTTTTTTTTCTTTACCATTAGTGGTTAGCTACTTCTATTGTTCCATTTACCGGTATTAACATTAAATAACATTACTTAAAACATATACAGTGGTCCCTCGGTTAACGAACACAATTCGTACCAGAAGGTCGTTCGTTAACCAAAAATTTCGTTAACCGAATCCATTGTTTCAATGGGATATTGGGTAATTGGTTCCAGCTCACCGAAAAGTACATACAAAGTAAAAAAAAATGCAATAAGTACACTAACTTTGAGGTGTGTATGTAGAAGGTTCCTGGTTGATGATGATGATGGGAATTAGAAGTGGGGGGTGGAGGAGAAGGGAGAAGAGAAGGAAGTAGAGGTGAAGGAGAAATTACCTTCCAGTTTCAGGGGACCCATGCTTGATGCCGTCATTTCACCAATAAAATTTTAAGTTCACTAGCTATAATTCAAGATTATTTAATTTAAATCAACACTGCACTGCACTATATATAATCAATATGTTAACTAAATTTCAGAATGACCAATAATTTCAATGAAAAATGCAAAATATTCAAGACACCAACAAAATAGATGTTCACTCCACTGGCAACAGAGTCCAACTGACGCCTTGTGGCTGAGTCAAGCATCTGATGGGCGCACAAAAAACTAGTTCCCTGGACTGCATATATTATCAATATGTTAAATAAATGTTAAAATGACTAATAATTTTAATATAAAACATGCAAAAATATTAAAGAGCACAACTTCATTGATATTTACTCCATTGGAAACGAATGTAAACATAGAACAGATTACTGAATTGGTAGACTCGCCCATCAGCTGATGCTCACAACAAACATGATGTTCGTAAGGATTTCGTTAATCAAATTTTTGTTCATTAACCGAATTGAAGATTCTTATGGAAGGTAATTCGTTAACCGAGGAACCACAGTGCATTCATTTTTTTACATTAATTTTACTACAGCTACAACCAGGGGTCTTATTTTCTTCATTTTCTCGTGTAGAACTATCGTCCCCGGACTCCCGGATCTAAACACAAACGAAAACAATGGCGTCCCATCTCCTCTTGTGTGACCATATTACTTTTCATTTATATTGTATAAGGTGCATTCAGAAACATTATTTAATGAATATAGTTTGCACTTTTCATTAATTGTATTGTTTTGGGGGAAAAGAGGGTAAAAAGCCACACAAAAGATATGAAAAGGTCACACTGGGGAACACATCTCATTATTATTGCTTTATTTTGATGGTAATTAATGATTCGCGATAAGATGATTCACCTTACACTGTAATATTGGAGGACACATTAACGTCATTATTCGAGGATTTACTGTACAATGTTGTTCAATAATAACTAATATGTCTCACAATAATTATACTATGGCTAGTTTGTACATCCAGTCATTGGTTACAAATATTCCTCTTATTAAAATAAATAACATTTATATATATCGTACAGTACAGTGGAACCTCTATATAAGGACTTCTATCTCAGTGAAACCTCTATATAAGGACTTCTATCTCTATATCATCCCTAAGATGGGAGGTTCACATCTAATGGACCCTCGATATAACGGATTTTTCTCTCCATATATTCCATTAACTCCTATGCCCGGGTTGACGTAATGCACTGTATGCCTTTTTGCAGCATTGTTTGAATGCCCAGCGCAGGTTATCAGGTTCCAGTGTGACTATTTGCCTGTCACGCCACACGCCTGGCCACAGGGAAGCTTCCTGAACATAATTACCTACTTTTGTTTGTTTCATTTTCATTGTTTGTCCATTTTATCATGTTGTATCAAAGTAATATTGCTAAAAGTAGTGTAGTTGTATTGTAGTGTAGTATTACTGTAAAATAATTCTTTGATTATGTTATAAATGTATGTATTTGTGGAATTATTATTCAGATAATTATTGATATGTATTATTTGTTCTACCAAACACAAAGACAGCCTGGCGACAGACTGGGTGTGTGTTGCCGAGCACTTTTTATGAAAAATAATGCAAATATAATATTCTAAATGAATTATTTATAGGAAATAAGTATTATGATCAGTAAATATATGCATTACTGGCCGTCCCAGACACAAAGGCAAGCATAAAATGGCCGCTAAGTACATAGTGACCACGAGCGTCAGCCATCAATACAACACTGTCCCTTTATCTCCCTCGCCACTGTGGCCTCAGTTAAGTTTCTAGAGGGTCAATATATAGTTTTTTTACTTTTTTTTTATTGTTCTATCATTTAAAAAGGTTAAAAATTATTTTTGGAAAAGTTGATTTTTCTCGATTTACCCCGCGTGCAGGGTACGGTCAGCAGCACCCTAGCCCGGGGTGTAGGGGCTAGAGAGGTTTCACTATACAGTATATTTTTTTCACGAGTACAGTAGAAGAGTCGAGAAATTCATATTATATTTTTCATTGAACTGTGTCATACCAGTAGAGTTTTTGTACTGAACATTCACCTTTTACAGTTCATATTCATCTTAAAATCTTCATTTGTAACTTGTGAACTTTTGGGTTAAGTTTCTAGGTGTTGATGTTAGCAAGATTTTTTTTTGAGGGGGGACGTGTCAGCCAATAGATATTCTTAATGTGATGGTATATGTGTTCTTCCAGGTGGTCCTATTCTTATAACAATAATTAAGAATACTCAATTAGCACCAGATATGAGACTGAGATTGATTCAAAGTCAACCTCATGTTCTCATTTTGCTAGTACTGTACTGTGTCATATGTAAGATACCCTACAAACAAGTACTGTATTCTTTATTTGTGGCGAGTATATTATATACAGTTATATATAAAAAACAAAAAACATCTTCAATTCCAAGAGGAGAGTTTCCTTTGGTAACATTCATCTTGCTCAAGCATACAACTTCCTGAGGTTTTGGAGAATATAATCCCAGATGAGTCAAGGTACAGTATGGTTTTAGTGCTAACTCTCTGTACTGTATGTACCTCTTAACCAAGGAAGGCATGATAATCTCCACTGCTGTAGCCAAGCTCCTTAAACAAACTGTAAAAAGATATAATCAAACACATATTAGAAATGTCGCTGTAGTACTCAAAAATATATACTTGCAACTCTCAAAAATAAAAATAAATCATACCTGTAGCTCTGTTAAGTCTGTTCTCACTATAGTATACTGTAGGGTGGATGGTCTCAAGGACATATACACACTCTCTCTTCTATTCTCTGCTGTCCATCCATTCATTCATTCATCATCTTTATTGTTTACTCGTTGCTTCACACACGCTAGCATCACCCACCAACATGTCCATCCCCAATAACCACTCAATGTCATGCTATCTGATCAGTCAAATTCTTAAATGGGATACTTTATTTTTCTACAAATATGCCTCAGTTATGAACCTTAATATATACCTATGCCATGTCCTTTTTGGTGCAGAATTAAATACTATTAACTGAAATACTTTTTTCTCCCCATAACTAACCCCTAAACTGTTCTTTCGGTCACGATGAAACACATTTAAAAGTCCGTTACTTATTTATGAACAGAAACGGAAGAAGAGAGAGGGCCAAGACGCTCTAATCTACCTATACATTATGTAGTGTATTTTATGGGGGGAAAGGAGGCCGGGAACATGACTAGCGTATTTTATCTATGTCTTATGGGAAAAATTGAGTCGGTTATCATTGTTTCCGTTAACGATGTGGTTTACAAGAACGTAACCACAGTGTTAGGCAAGTAATTGCTGTACCTGACCTGAGTGGAAGTATAGTACTGCATATGGAAGTTAAAAATAAACCTAACCTAATTGAATCACACTTAACCGAACTTAACCTAACCTAACCTCATCTAGCCTATAAACTGAGTAGAACAAAGGAGAGAAGAGTGCGGTGACGTGAAGAAAAACAACAAACACAGACAGAGACAAACCTATATATAAATAACAGACAGACATAAAATAATAAACAAACTAAGACATACAGATTAACAGACATACAAAGACTGGTTAACAGACACAAGCACACCAGAGGTAAATTTACTACAGAACTCCACACTGACTTACTTGACCCCAAGCTTAGTGAACTGAGTAGGTCCACAGACACACAGGTAAATGCTTCGCTCTTTGTTGCCCACAGGTAATAGTTTCTCTAATAGATCTTTTCGTATATGACCTTTCCAGCCCGGCCACGAGTCTCCTGCTTTTGATAGAACATGAGTCACCTGAAAGAGAAGTAGAGTTAACATAAAGATAATAGGTTTCATCAGTGTTAATAAGCCTCAATCTAACTTACCCTAACATTCAACAGTCCTCATGGGTCCTAACACTAATGGCTCACTGTCTTAATAGGTTCTAATGGGTCACTGTCTTAATAGGTTCTAATGGGTCACTGTCTTAATAGGTTCTAATGGGTCACTGTCTTAATAGGTTCTAATGGGTCACTGTCTTAATAGGTTCTAATGGGTCACTGTCTTAATAGGTTCTAATGGGTCACTGTCTTAATGGTTAGGTTAAAGGTGGACCCTATTTGACCTGACACTGCATTAAGTACTGTATTTTATACACTTAGTTTTCATTATATTATACAATATACAGTAAACACATATAAGACTGAGACTCTGTGATATCTGAACTTGCCTTTAATAAACTGGAATGGTCTTCCATTAAGTTATCTAATTCGTCCTTCCATGGTATATCTTCCTCAGTTTTATTGAAAAGAATAAGGTGGACTTTCCTGAAAGAAAAAATACTATATAACAATAATAATAATAATAATAATAATAATAATAATAATAATAATAATAATAATAATAATAATAATAATAATAATAATAATAATAACCAAAAAAATTTCATGTTTACCAAGTTACAAAATGAGTGGCCAAAAACTGATTCATGATTACAGTATTAACATAGAACCTCCTCTAGCTCCAAATATAATATAGCAAATAATTCTTCTAATTTTGAATCTCTTCTGAAATAACTTCAATAATCATTCTAACCTTTGCCAACATTCACAGAGATGGTTTTAAGAGTTTGAATTTTGAAGCGCTGATTAAAGAAAATTGGTCTCACGTTTTTCCAGATAATAAAGATGGTTAACTACATGGCCCAGAGGTCAACGGGCTATTTTATCTTTCAACTCCTGTAGTATGTTTAGAAGAGTTAAATTTTCTGATAAAATGTCTTTTCTTTCAAGCCATTTCATCAGGAAGAGTAAAAGACAGCTACGATATAACACAAGAAGCCCATAATTATTACTTACTTATTATTTCTGAGAGCTAGAAGCATCACCCTTATCATAGGTGTGATGCCAGTACCAGCACCTAATAGAGCAGTGTCTGTGGCTGTCTCGGTCGCTGCCACCAATTTGTCAAAGTAAAATGTTCCCTCTGGTACACTCACGTCTATACTTGACCCTACAGTGAGTTCATCTAGGGCTGGGGTCAATGCACCGTCATCATAAACCTGAAACACATCACTGAGTTAGAATTGTATTTTATAGACACATGTAACTTCCCCTGTCAACCTATAAGTTATGATGCTTTACCTAATAAAAATTTACATAATATTAGCTTGGAATTGAACTATCTTCATAACCTTTAGTATAATTCCCAGTGAAAATCATCTCTGAATGGCAAAGATCTGCTAGGTACAGTACTCCCACAAGGCTAGGTTGTGGAGTGAGAGCAAAGTCAGGGGAAAAACACCTCATTTTTAACCTTATCAGCCACAATAAATGAGTCACACATATACACTTGGATGACTCTACATATCAGGGTCACTTCATATACCATAAGTATTAACTCTCTGATGACTCTTTCACAGGTAAGATATCGTTAATACCTATCATCTAACAACAAGTAGGTCAGTAGGCAGCTATCACACAGGAAGATACAGTTCCCTTCACTAATATGTTTATAGGAGCTCATCAAGTTTTGGGCAGTGTAGCAGAGCTGCGTTTATTTACATTCAACAGAAGGAAACTCACAATAGTAAACATGCTATGGAATCAAATTAAAACAATATTAAAAAAAAATTCTCAAAGATAATGATTTGTGGAATGTTTATATGACGAGCCCCTGTAAGCGCACTAATTGAAGGCGACTGTACTACCACCTGAGAGGATATTACCAAGAGCATGAAGCTAATTTTGACCATCAATTACGTACTGACTTCTGGCTATGGTTGAAAAAGATATAGGGACCACACGCCCAATAAATAACTAACCTTAATAAAAAGATGTATTTTTCTGCCATATTCCTCAGGTTCTGCTAGACTTAAGGAAGCAGCTACGGGAGTGTATGGCTTTACTACATCTGAAGAAAGGAAAATGAGTCAAGTTGTGTTCAACAGTACTGTACTACTCACCAAGTCTTCCTTTAACACTTTTTTAAACAGAGACTGACTGAAATAAAGAGAAAACACACACACTCTACGGAGACGAAAGTCCATTATATCGAGGGCCTGTTAGATGTGAAACCTCCATTTAACGGACTGTGTGGAGATGAAAGTCCACAACAGTAAACCCTCCAGTTTGGCAACTAATTAGTGCCGAAAAAACCTCGCCAAACTCGAAATCACCAAACCAGAGGGCTTAATCCAATTGGACCGAGGGGCCAGCCAAATTCTAAATTTTTCCTATTTTCCCCACATATAACCTATATTTTATTGCTGAAAGAGAATGAATAATTAGTTAAGCAACATAAACATAGAAAACCAACCTTAGAATTAAATTTGAGGAGCTTAATGTACACTAAGCTGGTATTTGAGTACTTTTTCATTTTCTTCCCAACTCGAAACTCACGCGAATTTTTTGTCTTTGTTTTTACCCCATCATTTGAACCGCCCAGGCGCTCAGAAGGTCTTATACCACCACTATCATCCCCTCCATTACCCCCAGGTACCTCTGAGGCCATTATTCCACACGAGAACACCGCACCAAGCGAGAGGGAGTAAAAAAAGGGACACAAAAACCAAGGTCACTCAAACAAGCAGCGGGAATGTGGATTGAAGCGGTCAAAATGGCTGCCTGAATAGCTGACTGGCGCTTTGTGCTCGGCAAATACTCACCAGTAGTATTAAGCGAGATTTATCTTGCACTTATTATTCTACAATAATTAGTTGTGATTGCATTTAAAGTTAAACTCTCGCCAAAGGTGAGGGTTTGGTCGCCATAATGGAGGGCAGGGTACTTTGAATTTTGATCGCCAACTTCGAATTCGCCAAACTGGAGGGTTTACTGTATACCGAGGGCCTGTTAGATGTGAAACCTCCTTCTAACAAACTATATCGAGATGGACGTCCGTTATATCGAGGGTCCGTTAGATTCTATGGAATGAGAAGCCCATTATATAGAGGTTTCACTGGATGACTTTCTTCAAAAAATAAATCATAAACTACAAACATTATTATCAAGAATCAACTATTTTAAAACTAAAAAAAATCAAATTATTTTTAGAGTATTTATTTACCAGAGACTAGAGAGAAAGAGTAAAACCCAACATTAGTTAATATCGAAATAGGTTCTGATTTCACTTACTTCATGACTTCACCATTGGAGCATCTTCACCCCCCCCCCCCACAGCCTCTTTCAATCCTCTTAGATGCCTCTTGCCTAAACACTGAGAACCTTAAGGGGTAAATGGCCAAGGCAACAGAAAGTACTAACCGGCCACAGCAACAGGAAGTACTAAATGGCCAAGGGAACTACAAGAACTAAATGGCCCAAGCTGCTGAAATAACCTTCCCACCCACCCCAATTTCCTTCCACTGGGCGACGACGAACTCAGCGAAACAACTACACTGATTTGCATAAGCTATAGCCCCCAAATAATAATAAACAAAACAACCCCCCCAAAAACCTTACCATTCCCAGGTACTCGAATATAAACATGGTATCCAATAGGCACCGGCAGGCAGGTGTACTCAGGCACTTGTATAACCAGCAGGCGAGTATCTTGAGTTAGTGTTTCCTTACTAGCCAGAGAGCATTCTGTGTACTCAATCTGAAAGTATACAAACCATTAATATACAAAAGGTAAACAAACCATTAATATACAGTAGCTAAAACAACTATCTGTGCAGGTGGGGGTCGATATGTTCCGAAATTTTACGTGTGACTAGTGACAGCCCTCGTATACCAAAATTTATCGTCAATGGTCTCATATTGTTCCCCAAAGAGTATGTACAGATAGTTGTTTTAGCTATTGTACCCCTCGTGGGCAACATTAGTACTGTATAACCTAATTAACTTATTAATTTTACCTTAAATATTAAACTCCTTCTGTTAATCTGTTTATCTGGCTATCTATCAATCTATCAACCCCTCCTGTCAATCTATCTATCAATCTATCAACCCCTCCTGTCAATCCATCTATCTGGCTATCTATCAATCCCTCCTGTCAATCCATCAACCTTCTTCCATTTCTAACAGGCGTGGAGGAAGACAATCACAACAGGAAAGTTAAAGCGAACGACAACTTCCACTTGTTCACTGAGCTTCTACCACCAGTGATTACCAGCACACGTCACCTTCCTTACTCGTGACATGTTGCATTACCAAGCGATAATTACCAGTACTAACATTGTTTTCTAACTGACATGACCAGACATTAATCTTTGGACTTGACATGACCAGAAAAACATTACCTTTCTATCTTTGGACTTGACATGACCAGAAAAACATTACCTTTCTATCTTTGGACTTGACATGACCAGAAAAACATTACCTTTCTATCTTTGGACTTGACATGACCAGAAAAACATTACCTTTCTATCTTTGGACTTGACATGACCAGAAAAACATTACCTTTCTATCTTTGGACTTGACATGATCTCCGTGTCCCTCTAAAGTTCTCCCAATGATGCTCCACCGCACGCCCGACTCTTCCTTTTTTAAGAGAATGTCCACTTTGCCAGAGTTGCTTCCCGTTTTCAGTTCAAATTCCTCCGCTACGGGTTTATTGAGCTCGAGATGCACCGTGTAGGCCATGTCTTGGACGTAACACACCACCTTAACTACCTGTGGGGGAAGGGGGGAGGGGAATGAGACTGTAATACTGTCTACAGGTTTAGCAGCTGATCATCGCTACTGTAATACTGTATGGATCTTTAGCAACTGAACTTCACTGTCTTATAATAATGGATAATTTTCAAAAAGATTATCACTGAAATAAAACACAAATAATATAACTACTTGAACTATTAATATGGCAGGTACTACTGTATATAAGAGCTCCTTCACTCCCTCAACCAAAATCAGGTACCCATTCACAGCTGGGTCAATCTGGGGTTGCATTAAGGACAAAAAAACCAGCAAACACTTTATCCAATCAGCCATCACATCCTCAAATTGATCCAATCCTTCAAAACATCATCAAAAAGTCACGTTAAACTATTAAATAAATATAGCGTACTGAGAAATATACTTACACTTCCTCTTTTAATCACTACTACATGTTCCTTGTTTATGTGTTTCCATTTTGTATAGATGGCAATATTGATTAAGGTATTAGTCTGAAACCAATCATATTTCGGGTTGGGGAGGGCAGACGGGGTCATGGGAGACACTAGCGGTGACCTCGCTCCAGCTATCGTTGGTGGTCCTAAGGTGGGCGGCACCAGGGAGTTCGTGGATGAGGAAGAATTTTTGCGTGTGTCTGGAAAAATGTGTTCAAGTCTTACACAGCGGTCAAATAATTTAATATTTTCTGCACATCACACAAACATTAAAGAGATATTTATTTATTTATTTATTTCACCACTAATCAGGCCATTTACTGCTCAGGTGGTTAGTCTCGTCTTTGTCATACTGTACTTTGTTATGACCTTTATCGTCCAGTGTTATAAGCAGTAAAATTTAGGTTTATTTGATGCACTTCATACCGGTATTCACATCACTGAGAATTCTATTCAATTTATTACTAATCAAATGCAGTTAATTTCATTACCAGAGAGTAAAAATTCTATACAGTATATATCACAAGTAATAAATCTGACACTATTTTGGTATGAATGAACATCCAGTGTATTTCTCCTACAATAATAACAAACTATATATACAGTACAGTATACAGTACCTGATTTATTGGAGTTTTTCGAGCCTTTACCAAGAGGCAAGAAATTAGGTTTGAGAAAGAAGGACCGACTCTCCACCAAGCGTCCCACAAGACATTTCTGCAGCATCGTCTCAAAGTTTACCCACTTGTGTACCTGTAAGAATATGGCATAAAGTGAATGTGTATTTAACTTATGACCAGATGAAGAAACAAAATGACAACCAATAAAATATCTACATCGTAAGACATATCTAAATAAGAGAATCGGACAGAGAAAAGTGAGAACAAATTAGGAAAGTTGGTTTAAAAGGAGAAATACTGTACCATTTTTATCCTGACACAATGGTCACTCTAAGACTACACCACCAGTGTTTGACTCAGGCATCTTTAAGCCTTCAACTGTGAGGCTAAAAGTTGTATTTAGAGAATTTATCGAAATGTTCATTGTTTTGTGTAATGTCTGTGAGTACTGTACTGAGACCAATAACATAACATTACAACAGATAACATTTATATTTAACTATAAAATAAACAGTACTGCACTATTCAGCTTAATCTACTGAAGACTTAATTTCTTTAATAAACACCTAATAAAACATCCTCTCCCACATAAAGCTGTCGTTCTAGTAAGTCTGAAGAAAGTCAGTTAGAGCAACACTGATTTATTATACTGACTCTAGCAATTATTCTTAAAAAAAAACACAAAAAAAAATCAAATTAGTTGCAAAAAGTCACAAATACCGTATGTGAAATCAGCCCAAATAAGATGCTAGAGTGACTGTGATTCAAGTCTGAGGCAAATATATTGAAGAATCATTAATACAGAGCACCACACAATAATGTTAAAGACAAAACACTTACCATAAGCAATAACCATTTCCTTACCTGACAGATGTGTCTATTAACCCTTTAACACTGACTAAGGATTTCCTATTCTGCTTCTATGTGCACAAAAGTGGAACACAAGGAACATGAAACTACCACTGATGATGACCACCGTCCCTACAGCTAACTTCCACTGATGATGACCACCGTCCCTACAGCTAACATCCACTGATGATGACCACCGTCCCTACAGCTAACATCCACTGATGATGACCACCGTCCCTACCTACAGCACTTCACTGATGATGGCCACTGCCCTTGCCAGCACTCTCACTGGGATGATGGCCACCGCCCCTACAGCTAACTACTACTGATGGCCACCGTTCCTACAGCTAACTTCTCCACTGATGATGACCACCGTCCCTACAGCTAACTTCCACCGGATGATGGCCACCCGTCCCTACAGCTAACTTCCACTGATGATGACCACCGCCCCTACAGCTAACTTCCACTGATGGCGGGCCAACGCCCCTGCCAGCTAACTTCCACTGATGATGGCCACCGGCCCCTACAGCTAACTACCACTGATGATGGCCACCGGGCCCTACAGCTAACTTCCACTGATGATGACCACCGCCCCGCCAGCTAACTTCCACTGATGATGACCACCATCCCTACAGCTAACTTCCACTGATGATGACCACCGCCCCTACAGCTAACTTCCACTGATGATGGCCAACCGGGCCCCTGCTGTGCCAACTACCACTGATGATGGCCACCAGCCCCTGCCAGCTAACTTCCACTGATACACCACCGTCCTGGCAGCTAACTTCCACTGGGATGTGATGGCCACCGTCCCGGCTACAACTACCACTGATGATGGCCACCGCCCCTGCCAGCTAACTTCCACTGATGATGACCACCATCCCTACAGCTAACTTCCACTGATGATGGCCACCGCCCCTAAGCAGCTAACTTCTACTGATGATGGGCTACCGTCCTGCCAGCTAACTTCCACTGATGATGACCACCGCCCTACAGCTAACTTCCCACTGATGATGACCACTGTCCCTACAGCACATCCACTGATGATGATATCCACCGTCCCGCAGCTAATCTCCACTGATGATGACCTGCCACCGCCCCACAGCACCTCCACTGATGATGACCACCGCCCCTAAAGCTAACATCCACTGATGATGACCACCGTCCTTGCAGCTAACTTCCACTGATGATGACCACCGTCCCTACAGCTAACTTCCACTGATGATGACCACCGCCCCACAGCTAACATCCACTGATGATGACCACCGGCCCCTACAGCTACCTTCCACTGATGATGACCACCGCCCCTACAGCTAACTTCCACTGATGACGACCACCGCCCCACAGCTAACTTCCACTGATGATGACCACCGTCCTCATAGCAATATCCACTGATGATGACCACCGTCCCTGCTGTGCCAACTTCCACTGATGATGACCACCGCCCCACAGCTGACTTCCACTGATGATGCACCACCGTCCCTACAGCCAACTTCCCACTGATGATGACCACCGTCCCTACAGCTAACTTCCACTGATGATGACCACCGTCCCTACAGCTAACATCCACTGACATGACCCACCGCCCTACAGCCAACTTCCACTGATGATGCACCACCGCCCCTACAGCTAACATCCACTGGATGATGACCGCACCGTCCCTACAGCTAACATTCACTGATGATGACCTCACCGTCTCCCAGCCAACATCCACTGGATGATGACCACCGTCCCTGCACAGCTAACTTCCACTGATGATGACCACCTTCCCTACAGCTAACATCCACTGATGATGACCACCGTCCTCAAGAAGCACTTCCACTGATGATGAATCACCGTCCCTACAGCTAACATCCACTGATGATGACCACCGTCCCTGGCTGTGCCAACTTCCACTGATGATGACCACCGCCCCCATAGCTAACTTCCACTGATGATGACCACCGCCCCTGCCAGCTAACTTCCACTGATGATGACCACCGTCCCTGCCAGCCAACATCCACTGATGATGCACCACCGCCCTGCTGCAGCTAACTTCCACCGATGATGACCACCATCCCTGCTAACTTCCACTGGGATGATGACCACCGTCCCTACAGCTAACATCCACTGATGATGACCACCGTCCCTACAGCTAACTTCCACTGATGATGACTCACTGTCCCAAGCACATCCACTGATGATGACCACATCACTGTCTCAAGAAGCACATCCACTGATGATGACCACCGTCCTTTGCCAGCTAACTTCCACTGATGATGACCACTGTCCTGCTAAAGCACTTCCACTGATGATGACCACCGTCCTTGCTGTGCTAACTTCACTGGATGATGACTACCGTCCCCAAGGCTAGAAGCACTTCCACTGATGATGACCAATGTCCTTACAGCTAACTTCCACTGATGATGACCACCGTCCTTGCCAGCTAACTTCCACTGATGATGACCACCGTCCTTACAGCTAACTTCCACTGATGATGACCACCGTCCCTACAGCTAACTTCCACTGATGATGACCACCGTCCCTACAGCTAACTTCCACTGATGATGACCAGTGACCACCGTCCCTACAGCTAACTTCCACTGATGATGACCACCGTCCCTACAGCTAACTACCACTGATGATGACAGCTACTTCAGGGTCAAAGTCTCTTGTAAATATCCAACAAATTATAGCCTCTTTAAATGTTTACCTCATTGAAGAGTTCAGTGGCGTCAGTGCCCACACCTTTCATGAGTTCCTCTTCACCTCCTGGATGGAACTCCATATACGACGTGACATTATAAACTTTACCTGAAACGTGATCATACAGTGAGAGTTGTTCATAATGGTGATACATCTTATTATTTAAACCCTGAAAAAGATCTCAATTTGAAAAAGATCTGTTTGAAAAAGATCTGTTTGAAAAAGATTTGTTTGAAAAAGATATCTCCATGTATTTGTCTATTGCTCTACTTTATTCATGTAAGGTAGATGTAGGGTTATGGCAGCATCAAAAAATTTATACCTACTGTACTGTGTGATCATAAGTTCACAGCTCAAGACTCTGTGACCTTCAACTTGTCATGGATAAATATAAGCATTTGGGACTCATTTATACTATATCAAACTCATATCAAAATGGCCCAATGGCTTCCTTTTTCCATTTTTAATCATTAACCTTTAAGGATGATGGTTAACCCTTGAGGATGTTGGTTAACCTTTGAGGACGGATGATTCAACCCTTGATGGCGATGTGACGATGTTTTAATCCTTTGAGAACGGATGATTCAACCCTTTGAGAACGATGTTTTAACCCTATGAGAATGGTTTTAACCCTAGAGTACGATGTTTTAACCCTTTTGAAGAAGTTTTTAACCCTTTGAGGATGATGTTTTAACCCTTTGAGGATGATGTTTTAACCTTGAGGAGGATGTTTTAACCCTTGAAGACGGTGTTTCAACCTCCAGGACTCAAGGGGGGTTAAACCTACCCTGAGAGCCATCCAACAGTCAGTACGCTTGTTGTGTTTGGCCAACTCTTGCGGCGTCACGTCCAGCACCCGACCACCAGTCCCAGTTAAGTCAGTCCCAGTATGGCCCAGTTTCACCCAGTCCATCAAACTCGGCCAGGTCAGGGCCGTCTTGTTCCGGGGGTTTCTGAGAGAGAGAGAGAGAGAGAGAGAGAGAGGGGGAGAGATCAATGTAATTAGATTTTGAGATATTTAGAGAACAGTTAATTAGACCTAGGAAACATCTGAAGGATATTTAATCATCCTTACATAACTTCACGCTTCCACGCACACACACACACACACACACACACACACACACACACACACACACACACACACACACACACACACACACACGCTGATTTCTAATGATCAAAAAGGAACTAATGATTTCTTGATATTGCTCTCTCTCTCTTCTCTCTCTCTCTTTTTTATCTGGTTTAACAATGAGCTTCTAATTATAACCAGAAGAGGATGTTGGCTTTTGTGAAGGATGGTGGTTGGAGTTTGGTGGTTGTAAGGGGTTGTTAGGGGTTTTAGGGTGTTAGGGAGTTTAGGGGTGTTAGGGAGTTTAGGGGTGTTAGGGAGTTTAGGGTGTTAGGAGTTTAGGGGTGTTAGGGGAGTTTAGGGGTGTTAGGGGAGTTTAGGAGTGTTAGGGAGCTTAGGGTGTTAGGGGAGTTTAGGGAGTGTTAGGGGAGTTTAGGGGTTGTTAGGGAGTTTAGGGGGTGTTAGGTTTAGGGGTGTTAGAAGAGTTTAGGGGTGTTAGGTAGTTAGGGGTGGTCAGGGTAGGGGATGGTCGGGATGTCAGAGGGTGGTCGGGATGTCAGAGGGGGTCGGGGGTGTCAGGGGATGGTCGGGGGTGTCAGAGGGTGGTCGGGGTGTCAGGGGATGGTCGGGGGTGTCAGAGGGTGGTCGGGGATGTCAGAGGGTAGTGTCAAGAGATGGTTCAGGAGGTGTCAGATGGAGGTGTCAGGTGTCAAATGGTGTCATATCGTAGTGGGGTAGTGTACCAAATTTCCACACTCAAATATTAATAGTACTTTTTGAACCTTAATAAGTAGTAATTAACCTGTGAGTAAGGAATATTTTTGATGAGTTATTACAGTAGTTCTGGAGCCCCTGATCAAGTCTGGTCAACATGACTTACAGATTGATAACTTTTAAGATTATCATAACCTAGCTAACTACCACAGCTAAGCTAACCTAACCACAGCTAAGCTAACCTAATCCACAAGCTAGCAAACCTGACCTGACCTGACTTGACCTAACCTGACCTAACCTGATTTGACCTAACCAACCATCATAACTTAACCTAACTAACCTAACCTCATCTGGACCGACCAACCTCTCATAACCAACCTAACCAACCTACATACATAACCTAACCCGCTGAGCAAGTTACATATCTCTAATAATATCAACAGTAGTTAAATAGGAGTTAACATCACCTATTAATTAATTTTTTTTCTATTAATAGCATGAATAGGAACTGTGGTGATGACGTGTATGAGATTGTGGTGGATGACGTGAATGAGATTGTGGGATGATGTGTTATGAGATTGTGGTGAAGACGTGTTTATGAGATTGTGGGATGATGTGTTTATGAGATTGTGGTGGATGACGTGTTTATGATTGTGGTGGATGATGTGTTTATGAGATTGTGGTGGATGATGTGTTTATGAGATTGTGGTGGATGATGTGTTTATGAGATTGTGGTGGATGTGTTTATGAGGATTGTGGTGGATGATGTGTTTATGAGATTGTGGTGATGATGTGTTTATGAGATTGTGGTGGATGACGTGTATGATTGTGGTGGAAGACGTGTTTATGAGATTGTGGTGGATGATGCGTTTATGAGATTGTGATGACGTGTAGAGAAGACAGACAGTCACTCCTCATCCACTTGATCCTCTTCACTCTCCTTCTGGTGCTTGAGTTGGAGGGAGGGAGGGGTGAGGAGAGGAGGGTGAGGGAGGGAGGTGAGGGATGAGGGAGGGTGAGGGATGAGGGAGGGTAGGAGGCAAAGACGATGCCTGCCTGAGTCGGCTGAGATCGTAGAGGCTTGACGACCGTAACATTAGTCTCCACGCACCCTAGGACTGTGCCCATGTTGGCTACATTGTTAAGCCACATAACACTTACACTACTGTTACCAAGTCTTCTAATACTTATTACTTCAATTATAGAGGATTATATACTGTATTGGTAATACTGTTTTTGTTTTTGTTTAACACCAAGACCGCTAAGGTGTGTTCTATAGCGGTTGTGGTACCTCCAACACTGACGCCTGAGGTAGAGAAATATACAATTATATTTACATTTTCTGATATTATAAACACTATCTATTGCCGGGGTTAATAATATTCATAAAACACAGAAATAACGTATCTAATGTTAATACAGAATATTAATAACAATTTTTTTTCTGAATGTTAATTTTTATTTATCATATACGATGCTTTGTTAACTAGAATTCATGTTAAAATTCTCAGATGTTAATAAGAAGTTGCTGTTATTTTCTACTATTTGCTAGTTTTTCAGGATTTATCTACAAATATTTTTCAGTGAGATTTTTTTTCAGTGTATCTTACAAGTTCAGTAAGTATTGAACACAGACAATGCAGGTATACAACCAATATACATAGATAATGCAAATATACACACTATACATAGACAACGCAAGAGTATACTTATTGTAAACGTATACATGATTCATACTTATTGAACAAACGAAATACGATAATAATAACACTAATAACAACAATAATAACAATAACAATAATAATAATAATAATAATAATAAATAATATACAATAATAACAATAACAATAATAATAATAATAAAACAATAATAAATAATACAATAAATAACAACATTAATACATTAATAAATAATAATAATAATAATAATACAATAATAATAATAAACATAAAAATAATAATAATAACTCCTGCCTCCACATATACTGAGAGTGCAGCCAATCACCAATCACTAACTGCCCTACCTAATGGGCTGAATAAATCGATGTACAGTTTATGTCATTTTTTTTGCATTTTCTTCATTTCTCTTTCGTTATTGTCTGTTTGTCAATTGCTATTTCTCCTTTCTCTTCTATATTTCCATTCGTTTATTCATTATTCTTTTCACCTGTTTGCCCTTTTCTATGCACTGTTTCATCCATTTATATGTCCTATTATTCATTTATCCTTCTCTTCCTTCCCATCCAATCATCCATTTCATCTATTCCCTATCTTTCTCCCCTTCCCTATTCATCCACCCAACCACCCCTCCATCCGACCTTACCTTACTACCCACCAGCCAAGAGTTAACGAGGGCGGCAGACACCTATTACTGCTACTGTATGGCAGAGGTATGCAGAATGGCTATTGTCTACACTACACGACACTACACGATGCTACACGATGCTACGCTACACTACATACACGATGCTACACGACACGACACTACACTACACTACACGACACTACACACACTACACCATACTACACTGCACTACACTACACCACACCACACTACACTACACCATACCACACCACACTGCACTCACACCATACCATACCACACCACACTACACGACACTACACTACACGACACGACACTCACTCACACCATACCACACCACACTACACTACACCATACCACACTACACTACCACTACACCATACGAGTATAGTTTTTATTTTTATTTTACGAGCATTATTTTTACGAGTTATTAAATGTATTTCTTCCATCCTCTCCTCCTCCTTCTCCCATTATCCTCCTCCTCCTGATTCCTGTATTGACTTCCTCTTGTGGTAAACCGGTACACACACACACACACACACACACACACACACACACACACACACACTGCTTCAGGTGATGTGGATAAGAAAAGACATGACGTCCGTTGTGCCTGATGCTGAAGGTCTCAGGTAGTGTGAGGTCTCCTTCAGTGACCTGATATCAACTGACAGACTACCTCCTCCTTCTCCTCCTCCTCCTCCTCCTCCCTTCTCCTTCCTTCCCTTCTCCTTCTTCCTTCCTTCTCTTCTCCTCTCCACCTTTCTTCTTCTTACTTTTCCTCAGTCACATGTTTATTCCTACTACTCTCTCTCTCTCTCTCTCTCTCTCTCTCTTCTCTCTCTCTCATAATACGCTAGACACACCCTTTAACTACACACCAATTGGTCAACACAGGTGTATCGATCTACCTCCCTCTCACTTCACCCCTCTTCCCTCTAACGCCCCTCTTCCCTCTCCACCTCACCCTCCCTCCTCTCACCTCACCCTCCTCCCTCTCACCTCACCCCTTTCCCTCTCTTCCCCACCACACCCTCCCTCTCACCTCACCCTCCCTCACCTCACCCTCCTCTCACCTCACCCTCCTCCCCTCTCAACTCACACCCTACTCCCTCTCACCTCACCCTTCCTCCCTCTCTCCTCACCCTCCCTCACCTCACCCCTCCTCCCTCCTCCCCACCTCTCCCCTCCCTCTCACCTCACCCTCCTCCTCTCACCTCACCCCCCCTCCCTCACCTCACACCCCCACCCTTCCATTATCACAACAATAGGGGAGACTCGACATCGTTCAACAGGTGAGAGAACACAAACCTCTCACCACGGCCCTCCCCACCTCCTTCCCCTCCCCACCCCTCCTCTTCCCCTGCTCTACCCCTCTCCCTCACCCTCCACCCTCCCTAACTTGACTAACTGACTTGATTCTGCTTTAACACAACCTACAAGGGTAACTATACTAAAACTGTTAACTCTATAGCATGAGGGTGTTAATTTATAGCATGAGGGGTTAACTTAATCTATAGCATGAGGGGTTAACTAATCTATACATACCATGCTAGTTAATCCCCTCCCTAATCCCTCCCTCCTGTTTATTCTTCATGTCTGAGGGTTGGCAACTACGTCCTCTGAATCTCTCACTCAAGATATTCTCAAGTTTGTCTCATTTCCTCCCTCACTTTCCTCCCTACTCCTCCTTCTCCTCACTCCCTCTCGTCTTTCAGTCTCCTCCTTCTCCTCCTCTTCCCTCACCCTTCACTTCCTCCCACACCCCTCACCCCCCACACCTCAGCCCACACCCCTCAGCCCACACCCTCAGCCCACACCTCAGCCTCACACCCTCCTCCCTCAGCCCACACCCTCCTCCCTCAGCCCACCCCTCAGCCCACACCCCAGCCCACACCCCTCAGCCCACACCCTCAGCCACACCCCTCAGCCCACACCCCTCAGCCTACACCCAGCCTCACACCCCACCCT